GATGCAAGTGGATGTTGAAGCGCTTTTTGACCTTATTCCAAACCTCAGTAGCAAACTTACAAAGCAACACACAATGCTCGATACTCTCATCTCTCCCACAATGCACACAAGAAGGATTTGCGGGGATATTCCGACGGCATAGCTGTAATCCAGATGGGAGGCAGTCATGTGCAAACCTCCAGAGTACTATGTTCATTTTGTTTGGTGCCTTGATTTCCTAGATTGTCTTCCAATGTTTCTCCTCAACATCTGTAGTAGACAACAAGCCACGACCATTCACACTGTGTGCTGAAAAGAATTGTGACAATCGAGCAAGATTGTATGCTGAAGGACAGTATATAGTCCAAAGCGAGTGTGAGGCCAATACACAAAATCATCTCCCCCACGCCTGCTAATCTAAATTTGTAATATGAGCTCGACAGTCTCCTCTGGAAAGAAATCTCTAATGTTTTCTTTGTTCCAACGACCCTGTACATCCATGAGGCAACGCACTTATGCATATTTTGGAATTGGAAAAAGAGTTTGCAACATGTGTGGTGGCCGTCCAGGAATCCAATGATCTTTCATGATATTAACTTTTTGGCCATTTGCAATTTCCCACCTAACACCAGCTTTAACAAGCTCCCAGCAAAAGAGAATACTTCTCCAAGTATAGGATGAGGACCTGGGCTTGGGGGCATCCTAGAAATTAGAGTGGGGAAAGTAGCGTCCTTTGAGAACTTGAGCACAAAGAGAATCTGGCTCGGTAAGTAGCCTCCAACTTTGTTTACCAAGCATAGCTTGGTTGAAGAGCGAGAAATCACGGAAACCGAGCCCACGAAGCTTTTTTTGGTGTGGATAACCATTCCCATGAGTGCCAGTGAAATTTACTCTTACCATTTTCTCTACCCTACCAATAATCAGCAACAGCTTGTCTCATTCGTTCACATGTAGAAGTCGGTATTCAGAAACAACTCATTATATATGTTGGAATAGCCTGAATCACAGATTTCACCAAAACTTCTTTTCCTGCCCGAGAAGGAGGCCTATCTGACAAGCTAATGATGCGCTGCCAAACTTTGTCATTCAGAAATTTGAATGTCCTATTTGGCGACCTGCCGACATGAGTAGGCATTCCTAGATACTTATCATGGAATGATTCATTTGCAACTCCCAACATTCCCATTACCTTGTGCTTAGTATCATCAAAACACTTTTTACCAAAGTAAATTGATGACTTCTAAAGATTAACTTTCTGACCTAAACCGTCACAATATAAGTGCAAAGCCTCCTTCAGGGAGAGGACACTGCGTTGATCGCTTATAGCAAAGAAGATGCTATCGTCGGCAAAAAGGAGGTGTGAAATAGGAGGGCCTTGACGACCATTTCGAATACTTTGTAGATCACCATACGACTCCTTGTGCAAAAGCACACTGGACAAGCCTTCAGTGCATAGAAGGAATAGATAAGGGCTGATTGGGTCTCCCCCTTGTAGGAATCACAGGATTAGTAAGTTCTCCGTTAACCCGGACAACATAACGAACTGAGGTTGCACATCTCATGACCGTCCTGATCCACTCCGGTGCAAAACCCAGTTTACTCAGGCATCCTTGTAAATAAGACCACTCAACGTGGTCGTATTCTTTAGTCATGTCAATCTTGGTCTCTTCGATCGTTGTTGTCGAATTGTATGGAGACGCTCGAAAGCAATGAGGGCGTTGTCAGTGATAATTAATCTTCCCTGAACAAAAGCACTTTGATGTCCAGATACGATTGCTGGCAAAATAATCTTTAGCCGATTGGCCAGAACTTTTGAAGCTATCTTGTAGAGGACATTACAAAGGCTTATTGGTCTGAAGTTATGTAGATGTTTTGGCCTCGCAACTTTTGGAACTAAGACAATCACCGAATCAGAAAAACCATCAGGTATTGGCATTCCATTCAAAAATCATCTGACAGCATGACAAATATCTTACTTTAAGAAATCCCAGTGAGTTTGGTAAAAAAAAGTGCAGGAAAACCATCAGGCCCCGGCACCTTTGTTGGGCCCATTTGAAACAATGCTGATTTTATTTCATCATCTGTATAAGGCTTGCATAGCTCAGCACTCATGGAATCATCCACTTTGCATGGAATGGAATGAAGAACTGCATCCAAGGAGGCACATGGTTTAGTAGTAAATAGATTATCATAAAAACTTTGCACCATACCTTTAATCTCCTCCTGGTTTTCAGTAATTGAGCCATCGTTGCGAGCAAGACAGTTAATTCTATTTGTACATCGACGTGCCGATGCCCGAGCATGAAAAAATGTTGTATTCCGGTCACCTTCCCGGAGCCAGTCCACCCGGGAATGTTGCCTGGCCATTATTTCTTCTCGCTCAAATAGTTCACCTAACTGTCTCTCCAACGAGCGTTCCTCCTCAATCGCTGCATCCGAGAGAAGGTTTGATCGTAGGTATTTAAGACGCCTTTCCAACTTCCGAATGTTGGATCTGATTGCGCCAAAAGATTCTCTTTCCCATTTTTAAGAGAGGTTGCCACTCTATTCAGGTTGGACCAGGTTGATTTTAATGACAAAGGATACCCAAGCCTTCTCTAAGAATTCTCTGTAGTCAGGAGCTCTCAGCCACATAGCTTCGAATTTGAAACCTTGATGCACATGACGAGAATCATATGAAGTCTTTCCTCTGTCATAAGGAATCTTCCCGTTATTAAGAGCAATATGAACATCATAGTGATCCGAGGTTGTAGTGATCACATTCTCAACCAAACAATACTCATAAAGATTAGAAAACTTTACGTTAGCTACAGCTCTGTCTAGTCGGGCCTTGACATGACGGCCAGGGTCCTGACGATTAGACCAGGTATGCTTAGGACCGCAATAACCCAGGTCGACAAGGCCACAATCAGCCAAGCACTGTTGGAAGTCGCCGATCTGCCTATCTATCCTATCTCGGAGGCCTTGATGTTCGTCATGGCGCAACACTTCATTAAAATCCCCATAACAGATCCATGGACCATCTCATTGTGCTCGCATAAAACGGAGGAAGTCCCAAAAGTGTCTTCTATTTTCTTTTCTTGGTTCTCCATACACAAAAGTCACCCTCCATACCGGTCCCTGATCAGGCTTGACATGGACATCGATGCATCTACTGTTGAAAGCCTTCAAAGAAACATTTATAGAAGATAGCCAAAACAGACACAAGCCTCCACTTTGGCCCCTCACGGCTGACTGCATGAGGCCAACTCCAGCGCGCAACCCCAAACGGATGTCCGTTTTGTCCGGTTTCTGTCCGTTTGGGTAGGGATTTGGGGTCGTGTCCGGGCCTGTCATGGGATGCGGTGGCCGTGCGCCCACCGCGCGGCCGCATCCATTTGCCCCATCCTGTCCGCGTATATTTCTTTGCAAGTCCTTCACTTTTTTTATCATTCATTTTTGGTACATGATAATACATCATTACATTTTGACTAGTAAAGCAAGGCCAAAGAAAACAAGAACCACAATAATACATTTGAGAAGATACCCAACTTCCATAACTACTTCCTTGAGTTGGGTTAGCACCTTCTCGATGCACTCATTGTTGATCTGTGGAGGAGGCATGACGTTGCACCCTCCTTTCTTCTTCAAGCCAGAAGTCGACGTTGCTTCCTCACACGTAGTATTGTGCCTTGTTGCTTCTTCGCACGTAGTATCGTGCCTAGCCTCTAATCTAGCAACAAGTGCACTTGTCTCATCTAAAGCCTCTAGGCTAGCTAAAAGTGCACGAACATGCAATACATTTCGCTCTATCAACATATCGATGTACTCTTCTTCCCAATACCAAAACTTGCATCCGTTCTACACAATAAGACTTAAAGTTAGCACCACTAGTCTAATCGAAAGCACAAACCGAAGCTAAAAGAGCACATACCCCATCGTTTAAGCACTTGATGAACACCCATCCGGGATGCTCCGGCGTTGTAGACACGCGGTGCACGACCACCCTTGGGCAGTGGTCGCACTTGATGAGGGGCAACGGTGCGCCGACGAGCTTTTGGGCAAGCACCGAGCCCGGCCGGCCGCCATTCGCGTATCTACCGGCGTGCCACCGACGGTGCAGATCCGAGCGGCTACAGGACGAGCCACTGCCTGCATGTGGCCTTGCGGCCCTGCCAGGGCCTTCCGGCGAGGTTCCCGGCCAGTCCATGGCGCGGCCCGGCCTCCCACAGCCGGGCGAGCTCAAGACCGCCCGGATCCGCCCCAAATCCGGCCGGCGGGCGCGCAAACAAGGTGGCCGTGCTTGGGTAGCTCGGCGGCGACGAGAGGAAGGGGCTGGGCAAGCGTGCGTCCGAGTTGCACGGCTGCAAGGGCAGCGGGCGGCCGACGGCGGCGAGGGGAAGAGAGGGGAAGAGTGGAGTGGATGCGGCCGGAGGGAGGGAGGGGGCGGATAAAAAAAGGTCCGTCCTGTGCCACCGACGGGCGGGCCAGGGGAGGACACGCGCCGACGACCCGCACGTTCGCGTGGTGTCCGTTTCACCCTAAAAGCGGCACAAACTTGGGCCGCGGATGGGTTGAAAGCGGACACAAAGCGGACAAAAGTCCGTTTGCGCCCACGCGTTGGACCGTCTCGTTTGTCCCTTTTATCGCAAACTAACGGGGGCAGACAGGATAGGGTCGCGTGGTGGAGTTGTCCTGACCACATGAAGTTTCTTGCCCTTTTATCCGTCATCTTTGTCTCGGACAAGAAGATGAGGGGTGGGAATGACGACTGCTTTGTGGTTGAATCAGCCGGATACGTATTGTCCGTCTGTCTTTAGGCAGAAGGACGTACACGTCCAGCCTTGTCACTGACACTACTTTATCTGACAACAGATAGTGGATTCCACACAAGCACTTGGTTTTATTACTTAGCAACAATACAAAACGTCTGACAACACCATCAACCAGAATGAGGATCATTCGCACCATTACTATTTTATTATCGACCGAAGCCACTCGAAACCGCAGCGCAGCCATCAATCACCATCTTTGCGGGCACCTCACACGTCGCAGGACAGCCACAGCGGCTCGTCGAACTCGCCCAGCGAATCGTCCGCGGCGGGGGCGCCCAGCGACAGCGACTCCACGCCCAGCGCCGGGCCCCACGTCGGCGTGCCGTTCTCGTAGGCGTTGCAGGTGAGCCTGCGCACACCGGACCCGTCGAGCCGGCACACGTACAGGTCGCCGTACGGCTGGAACTGGTTCGGCCCCGAGATGGGCTCGGCCACGACGCCGCCGAGGTTCGCCGTGAAGAGCAGCCACTCGCCGTCCGGGCTGAAGCACACGTGGTTGATCCGCTCCTTGTCCGCCTCCGCACTCCCCGGCGGCCCGGCCACGTGCACCCGCCGCAGCCCTGTCCCGTCCGGCCGCACCAGGTAGATGCTGAACACGGCGGCGTTGGCCGGCTCGTGCCGGTTGGAGGAGAACGCGATCAGCTCCCCGTCCGGCGACCAGCTCGGCATCGTGTCGATCCACTCGCCCTCGGTGACCCTCCGTATGGTCTCCTCCCCGCGCGCCGCGTCGACGATGTAGAGGTTCTTGTGGCCCGACCGGCCGGACCGGAACACCACCCACCGCCCGCACGGCGACACCGCCGGGAACGCGTCGTTGCCGGCCTCCGGACGGGTCAGCTCCTTCACGGCCACGTAGACGTCGCCGCGGTCGTCGGTGAGCTCGCTCGGGTCGAACTCGATGCGCGCCACCCGGACCGTCGCTTTCGGGGTCTCAAAGATCGGGCCAGCGGAGGTGAACACGACCCCGCTCTCGGTGGGGCTCCACGAGGTGTAGAACAGGTTGGGCTGCTTGGCGAGCACCCATCGCTTGGAGCCGTCGGCGCGGAGGATGGTCACTCCGGGCGACTTGAAGAAGTCGCCGTTGAGGGCGAAGTACTTCGCGTCCGGCGAGAAGGACGGGAAGGAGCCGTGCACGCGGAGCATGCGGATGGAGCTCACCGGGCTGCGCACCGGCTGCCAGTAGGGAATCAGCGAGTCGCCCGGCGCGCCCGCGCCGCGGAAGCGGTGGTACCCGAGGCGCTCGCCGGACGGCGAGAAGAAGGGGTTGTAATGGTGCAGCTCCGGGTTAAGGAGAGAGGTAACCGAGGTGAATTGCTCCGTCTCAAGGTCGAACAGCTCGATGTGGCGGTGCGCCCGCCCCTTCCGCCGCGTCGCCACTGCAATCCAACGGCAGCCACGGCCCGCTGCGGCAGGGGTGAAGCAGTGCACGCCCGGAGGCGTCACGCGCATCTCGGCGCTGCAGGGCTCGAGGGTCTCCGGCGAGATGTCCACCCGGAAGACGCTCCACCAGCCGTCATCGGCGACGCGGTGGAAGAACACCGTGCCCTCCCCGTGCCAGGTCGGCCAGCCGCTCCGAGCAGCGAGGACGACGCGGCGGGCGGGATCGGCGGCACGGAAGACGGCGACCTCCGTCTCGAGCACGTGGAAGTCGAACGCCCACGGCCTCTCGCCGTACGAGGCGACGGCGAGGAGCTCGCCGGACGCGGACACTGCGGGGCTCATGTCCGCCACGCCCCGAGGCGTCACCCGCACCGTCTCCTCGCTGCCAAGGTCCGTCGTGTACACCGCCGCCCAGCTCCTGAACCACCCATCCGGCTTCTCGTGCGCGGAGACGAAGTACAGCCGGCCGCCCCTCACGGTGGGGCGGTCGTGGAACAGGCTCCCCTCCACGGCCGGCAGCGGCACGGCGCGCTCGGACCCGGGGCGGCACAGGAACAGGCCCGCCGAGCCGGTGCGCTCGGACACGAACGCCACCTCCTCGCCGCCGTCGTCCTTGAACTGGGCGTTGAAGTTGACGGACACGCCGTCCGTGTGGCGGCGCTCCGCCAGCCCCGCGGCGGATGCGCTCTCGGGAGTCTGCGGGGCGGCGACGGAGAAGACGTCGAAGCCGAAGCTGGTGACCCCGACGGAGGCGAACACGATCGTGCCGGTAGGCTCGCGGCCGGGCTCCATGATCGGTGAGACGGCGTGTGGCTGGTTGAGTCGAGCTGTGCTGCTGGCGCTTGTCGCTTGTAGCTTGTCGGGGTGTGTGATCGAGGTGTGTGACTGGGTGGAGCGTGGCGGTATTTGTAGGTTCGCGGCGAGACTTATCTGCGGGTGGTTGGCTTGTCGGATCACTCCACTGTCCACTCCGTGACTTCAGCGTGCACGTGGCGGGTGTGAACGGGTGCATCACAATGGAATCTGTGGAGCACGTAGGCGGTACACAAGTCCATCACGCTCCAGTTCCTACCGTACCCGCCCTGCACGGTACCACTATTTCCGATGCGCACTATTTTTGTAAGTTTCTTGCAACGCAAAAGGTTAGTTTTTTTTTACCCGCAAAAAAAAAAGGGTTAGTTTTTTCTTTGCCAAATCTCGCGTCACTTTATAGATTAATTAGTGTTCATCCGGATCGAATTTAAATCATCCGCCTAACCGGCCGTCCGATCTGGGCGTTGGTGAACGGATCTGGCGCAGCACGGGGAGCCGACGGGTGCTGCCCATGGCACCATCAAGTGCAGCCCCTTCACGAACCCCCCCCCTTCCCCCCCCCCACACACCTCCTCCTCCTTGGCGAAGCTCCACTGCAATCCCAGGGGTGAGACAAAGCTACAACGCAGTACCGACAACGCTGGCGAAGCTCCATTGCAGCACCAACAACGCTCCAATGCATCACCGGCGGAGATCCATTGTAGCCTAACGATCCGTCGATGCGTCGGCGAAGCTCCATCGAAGCACCACTGGCGCTCCATTTTGCAGCTTCGAGGGACACTTCATTGCAGCCCCGTCGGTGCGATGAAACTCCAACACGGTACCGACGGCACGCCGGTGAAGCTCCATTGTAGCCGGAGTTGAGGGAGGTGCCCCGTCACAACAATGGTGCTGCTGCAGAAACGCATGGGTTGCAGTACGGGGTGACAGTGGCGAGCATGCGGCTTCCATCGGTGGTGGTCGGAGTCGCCCTCACCCCAACCTTGTCGCAACCGCGCCGTTCCGGTGCTGGTGTCGCCCCTCTTCCGGCCATGGCGAGGATGCAACAGCAGCGACCATGGCAAGGATGCAAATAGCGGCTGCTTCACCCTTATGATTGCAACAACGACGATGTTCGGGGTAGAGTAGCGTCATGCTGCCGTCGGCGGTGTCCCTCCCGGTTCCCTCGCCATGGGAGCCTCGTCCTCTCCTCTAGTACTCCCTCCTTCCATCTATATAAGGCCTAACCTCAAATTTTATTTTTCCATCTATACAAGGCCAAACCAGCTAACCGATGCATCTCCGAGTTAATTCTCCCTCGCAGGTTGCGCGCGGCCGTCCTCGTGAAAACGCGATGGCCGGCAGCATTTACTCCTTGCATGCATGCAGAGAGCCGTTAGACGTGCTTCACCTCGCCTCCTCGTCCTTTCTTCTCCCCCGAGTCTTCTTTATATTCCTTCCCTTCTCAACGAGAGCCATTTCCACTTTGCCATCTCTCTTCATCATGGATCAAGCTCTCGCCACAAATGTCTTGGAAGAGCCAGCTGCTACATTTACCTCTGCGTCCGCCGCGCGCGCGTACACGGCCATGTCGTCGTCGTACGCGGCCATAGCTCCACCTATTCCTACTTCTCCTCCTCCTCCTGCCATACTGGACTGATCAGAATCTTCATCCGGAGGAAGGTTTAGATCAAGGAAAACCATGGTGGAAGAAAGTAGAGAGAGAGAGCTCAGTGAACTAGAATGTGAGGAGGCCATCGACTTATAACATGCTGTGTCCACTGAAAATTTCATAGATGTCGCCGAACTTAGGAGGGAAAAATGGCGCCATGTTCTTTGATGTGTTTCCCTCCAATTTTACGTGAAAATTTTCTAATCTAGCGCCACCATGGAGGAAAAATGGCGCCATGTACTTGCAGGAGCGAGCTCTTTTTTGGCCAGTGCATGAAGGTGTGGAGGAGTTATTGTTGAGCTACATGCAGAAAAAGGGGGAGAGGAAGTTGCATGCAAGGGATTAATAGAGAGGGAGGAGAGCGGGCTGCACGGCGCCCAAAAAAAATCTTGCATGCGATTTGGTTGGTCAAGTACTATTCCCAATTTTTGCTCCTCTTTTTATGCAACAGCCTTGGTACTAGAGATTCAAAACTTAGGCCTTATATAGATGGAAGGAGGGAGTACCAAGGAAGGAGGAAAAGGGGAAAAGAGAAGACGTGTGGAGAAGAGAGAGGGCTCGAAGATAAGGTTGGAGAAGAAGCGGTGGCTGGTCCCTCAAGGGACACATGGCGCACACAGCAGGTGGTTTACGAGTGGAAGAAATCATTCGGATGAAATAGATCGTTTTCCGTCGGAGAATCCATACTTTGCGCAAGAGGTTAGCTAAGAGCGTCTACAGTCGGGCGCCCTAAAACCCGTCTCATACACCGGGGCGGGCGGACCGGACACAAAAAGTCAACCTAGGCGGACTCTCGAACCGGCCTCAAACACCCGGGCTGTCTAGCGCTCTCATATCCAGCCAAAATGTACGGTGGATATGGGGCGGTCTGGACACGCCCGGACGCGTCTTCCTAACAGACCTGACTCAGCACCGACCCCACCGTTGTCCCACAAAAAAGTCCCAATCCGGCTCCACGCTTGGAACGCTAGCTCACTCGTTATCCTCTCTCACTTCATCCTCTCTTCTCCCCTTTTCGATTCTGATACAACCCGGTGACCATGTCAAGCTTCGACAGCCGCTCCGTCTCTGACCTGGATGCCGACGAGGAGCTGGCCCTCTGCATTGCCTTGGAGCATTCCAAGGTGGACACCGAGGGCAAATCCAGATCTGCAGCGTCGCCACAGATCCCCCATCGTTGAAGCAATTTTACGAAATTTCTGAATTATTTTAAATTGTTGACATGATAATTCAGAAATTTGTGGGTTCTATTCCCCCTCGTTTAAATCGTTGAAGGTGAACACCAACCGGGACTAAAAGCAATTTTACGAAAAAAATGAATTTTTTTGAAGTTTTATCAATTTTCAAATTTCTGAATTATTTTACAATTTAATCTCTAATCACCACTCATCACCGCTCAATTTAACCTCTAATCTCTAATCACCCCTCATCGTTCTAAATCATCTAACTTCCCGGCCGGTCACCCATCCTCTCATACTCCAGCCTGAGCACACTTAACTTCTGGGTTCTATTCCCCCTCGTTTCCAAGTCTGCACTTGTTGTTTTTCTGACAATAATAAGATGTCAATCCTATTAATCCTCAGGAGTTTAGCTTGAGCATGAAGTCACACGTTTCTGATTGAGTTTGAAACTATTATTCTAAAAAACATAATTATTTAGTAACGCTAATATTTCTTGAATAAGTAGTTTGACCATAGTTGGACCATAGTTTGACTAAATTTGACCAAAATTCAAAATACTGAAATAATTATTTAGTAATACTAATATTCTTGAATAATTATTTAGTACCACTAATACTTCTTGAATAAGTAGTTTGACCCTAGTTTGACCAGATTTGACCAAAATTAAAAAAAACTAAAATTTGAGCATAACTTTTTTCCTTTTAGAATTTGAGGATTCTAAAAATTTGCAAACAAATCGTAGGCCGTCAAAATCTGATGCAGATTTTCGTTCTGATTTTTTAAATATATTATGCGGTTTTTTTCAACATCTTATGCAAAAGATATGATCGTTTTACTTTTTCATAACACTTTTTTGTAAAACATGTCCAAATTTAAGTTTTTTAAATTTCCTAACTAATAGATGTAGTGACATTAGCTACATCTCGAAGGATTTTAATTTTTGAAG